AGCTGGAAGAACAGCTAAAACTTTCAGCAAAATCACAAACTTCAGGAGAGCCCAGAGAGTACAGGGTGAGTAAAATCACACTTAGAGGCCAAAGGAGTTTGTTTACTACAACGAAATACCAAAACCTGTATTGTTTTGGGGGACTGGCTCTTGAGAGACTCCCCCCAAATCACAAACTTCAGGAGAGCCCAGAGAGTACAGGGTGAGTAAAATCACACTTAGAGGCCAAAGGAGTTTGTTTACTACAACGAAATACCAAAACCTGTATTGTTTTGGGGGACTGGCTCTTGAGAGACTCCCCCCCCCCGCCCCTTCTCTGTTGTCACCCAGAGAGCACATTTTTTTCCCCCAGCTGACTGGACTACATTTAAGCAGTGAGAGTGTACTTACATTACTTCTTATGGAGATGGAAAGAAATGTTGTATGTGCATTACAGTAAAGTTTCAAAGTTTCACAGCCTACAAGTCTGGTTTAAATTAACTGGGGAGGACAACAATACAGACACTCTGCTCTACAGAGAGTACTTGAGGAGTGACTTCTGGTTTCTAAACGTGTTTAGTTTTTCCAGCTATAACAGTTGTAATAAGAGATGTTCTTTGTCTGTATGCCTTGTCCTATTTAAGTTTATAAATCAGTCCTTTTTTTTCTCATGTTCATTTGTTTGATGCTTGGTTTCAAAGATTAACTCTTGCTTTTTTGTTTTGTTTTTTTTTCATATAACCGAACATTATACAGAACTATGAATTGATTCTACAGGTATGGAAAACAGCGTGAACATCTCTTTAACTTTTCTTTCTTTTTTTTTTTTCCTTTCAATCCCTTGTATTAATTAGATCTACTTTGGCTTTTTTTTTCCTGTTCTTGATATGTCAAGGCTGCTTCAGCTTGACTTGGAGATAAGGATACATGTCTTAGGGTGGCAGAATTCTTGCAGGGAGTGAGGAACTGCTTTCAATTTAATTCCCTGTACACAAGTGCTTCATTCTCCTGGCTTATTGCTCAGATGTATTACAGGCAGTTACTTGCTGTAAAAGAGCTTTTTGGCATGAAAGGAGAAGTTAAGGTTTGGAGTATGAAACAAAGATAATGGAATTATGATGATACACTCTGCCTTAGCCTTCAGCTTTTGTTTGTAGTCCTCCTCTTAACAAAACTTCTGTGTGTATACTACTTAATTTCATTTCCATCTATTCATTTATGTACAGTTTATGAAATTGTGTACCTTGGTGTTAGAAAAGCAAATCTTATAGGAACAACTGAATTTTTGATAGAGTGAGTTTTCCGTGCTGGAGGGCACCTGATTGTCGCTTGCCTTCTGTAACCTCTGGTAGGACTTCGTTAGGCTTCTTAAGAAGTAGAGTGATTACATATCATTCTGCATCTGTTTTGGCTTCTCATTTGCATGAATGCCATTATCTGGCATCAAGATTTTCTGAGTACATCACACACATAGCCTATGTGTTATTTACACTGTAGCAAAAGTCCGAAAAAGAACAGCAAATATTTTTATTTCAAAGACCGTGTGACTTGTTGAAGATCTGTTTGTACCCGGAAGGTATACCTCTGTGGCAGTTCTTGGGCATACAGGATCATAAAGGATGTATGTCAAGTTATTCAAAATATGTCAAGCTGTTAAGACCACAGCTTGCTTTCTATCCAAGTTATTAGGTGGATGACAGCTAGTTACTAGTATGCTTGTGTCATAGTAAAGAGGAATATCTGAAAAAATTGACTAGCTGCTGTAACTTTGCAACCTCTCTCAGAAAGGATTAAAACTCAATTGGAGAAAGGCACACAAGGAAGGTAGCTAAGCAAGTGACATTTGAGGGTAGGGTGAGATTTGGATGCAATCTGTGCCAGAATAAAATGTCAGGATTTAGACAGTTCTTGTATAGTTGTTTAATGCAGCTGTTAACGTCTGTAATTACTTAACTCGCTCTGAAACAAATCAGTTCAAGTGAGCTTCTAATTTCTGCATGTAGGAGTTATAACAAATTCGTAGTTGTTCTCTCTGCTGTTCTCTAGGCTGAAGGTCTATGCAAGTGGGATTATTTAGTGAAAAGAGTGCTGATTGGTACTGGGAGCTACCATCTGAGAGTATGCTGTGAGGGTGAAGGTTGTGAAAGTGATTCTTAGCTACAGGATTGCAGCACTAGCTTTCTAGCAATGTGGTGTTAAAAATGACACTTTTCATGTATAAAGTGTCATAGTTTCTGGGATTCTGATGCCAAAATTTTATAGCATTAGAAAGTGTAGACTTCTAAAAGATTTTTCTGTACTGAAAAGCTTTACTGTAAGCCCTGTGTTATGCTTAACAGTTGATTAATTGCTGATGGGATGAGAAAGGAATAAGATATGTACATAATTAAGGAAAGATATATGTGCCTGTAAGCAGTTGAAAATGTAATGTTAATCACTTTTGATATTCTTAACTACTCTGTGATGCTCTCCATGCTTATTAATTTGACGAAATTAACTCTATGCCTCTGTATTTTGCTAGAAGGTGTTTTTTCTGCTTTAGTAATATCTATACAATACTTTGAAGATGTAAAATTTTATATTAAGACAAAGAATTATTATTTTTTAATATTGAAGTGGAATTGGCATAAATTCAAACAGTTATTGATGAACAAAGCATTTATTTTGTAAAATCTCATCTTCCTTCCTCCTTGGTAGTGACCGAATTATTTCTCCTTTAGAAGGTTTCCCATTGCTTTCCTATCCAAGCTTGCTTTCAACGTGCTTAATGACTTTATCATTTCCGACGTAATCTGTCTGTCCCACTTGGTTCTCTCCTGCCTCTGTTACCCACCAAAGCTCCTAGCCTTGCCTTCACGTTAATTACTGGGATGAATGCAGCTCTGTGCATGATTGGATCTCAGTAAGCTCAAATGCAAAATTGTTATCCTCTTCATATTTAAGGGATTTTTGGAAAAAGTGTACCTGTTCTATGTTGACTGCTGTGAATCTTTCTGATTTGCAGGCATTCATTGTGTTACATTGCATATTTATCCTTCAATTCTTGGTATCTTCCTTTAAACTGGAATTCCATGAAGTAGTGGAAGATGGTTCTGAGGTTACAGAAATACATCTAATGCTATTAGTAATAATTCATGTAATCTTGGGATTTTTAAATCTTGAACAAAGTAAAAGCAACAAAAAACCCCACATACCACAAGGCCCCTTTTGATGACCACTGGTCCTTGAGAGTATGCCTTCATCCAATACTTTGTGAGAATACTGCAAATATTAAGAGAGTAATCAAATGCGTATTTAAGAGCTGCTGCATTTGGAAAACAAGATTTCAGAAAGTTACTTTTTCATCCTTTCTGTCCACATCTAATTTTACTTTCATCTGGGATTTTAGCACTAGTTTAGTCCGTAGTAAAACTCACCTTCTTTGCCGTGAAATCACTGTTGCTTCCAATTGGAAGTTTGTTATATTGCCAGAATATCTGTATAATGTGATTTCTGTATAGGTAGAATCTTTGCAAGCAGAAATAAAAGAGAAGATGGATGATTACAATAAGTTGTTATTAGAAAAGGAGAAAAACCAGCAAGAAATTACAGCTCGTGATAAAGAGATAGAAGAACTGCTGGCACAGATACGAGAACTGGAGCACAGCGGAACTGAAGTCTCAAAGACTGTGCGCTACTTGGAACAACAACTGCAAAAAATGAAGAAAGTGGAAACCGAATTAAAACAAGTAATTTTTAAATACTTATTTAAATGGGAGTGGAATTATGCAGACAGTGTCTTCATGGGGGATATCAATGACACTTAGTGTTGTTTGAGACTAGCCTGGCACTTACTGGTGAGTTAAGCTGTTGTATTAATGGCAGGTACCACAGCCACAGTTTTAAACAAACTCTGGTTTTACTAACTATACTACTTACTATAGAGACTGCTTTTTGATAATTATCATGTTTGCATGTATCAGAGCTTCTCTTTTGCTTCTCTAGAAGTTCCTGAGAAGATATTAAACATCGTGGATCTTCAATAAGTAACTGTTTAAAATCATATTATCTTAATCGGTAGTTCTTCTTGCTATGTGTCTTTGGAGCCAGATCCGTTTGCCACAGTCTGAAATTTTTAGTGCTTTGTTACTGCTGCAGATTTATTCACAGCTTAGAGTTAAGAATTGCATTCCATTTAGCAAAACTATTTGTCTTTGACCAAATATCTGAGTAACCTTTTCTAGCTTCTTAAACTTAATGTTTGAGTTTCCTCCCAGCAATTTTCCTTGGTTAAGTATTGTTGGTGTGTCTATCAAGTTCGAAGATTTGAGATTGGCATGATCCAAACTAAATTTATTAGTTTAATTGCTAATTCTGTAAATACTTTTTTCCATTATTTTTCTTTTTAAAAATACTGAAAAAAGTGGTTTTTGTTTTAGCTTCAGCTAATGTGATATAGACTAGCCAGTCATAGTTTATTAGGTACTATTATTCCCATCTATTTAACACTTGTGAGATTGCATCTGGAGAACTGCTTGATTTTATACTTCCATGTACCAGACAGACATTGGCGTACTGGAGCAAGTCTAGCAAAGGACCCTCAAGACGGTCAGGGGGCTGAGAGAACAGGGTTTGTTTAGGTTTGCAGAGATCTTACTGTTGCCTACTAACCACATAATATGAGGTTATAGAGAACATGGAGTCATACTTGGAGGTGCACAGTGAAAGGATGAGAAAATACGAGCATAAACTGCAACAAGAGAAATGCCAATTAAATGGTTAGGGGGAAATGGTCATAGTGGAGGCAGCCAAATGATGAAAAAGGGGTTCAAAGTGGCAGTGGTGTCTCTGACTTGGAGATGTTCAGAATTTGGCTGGCCAAGGCCCTGAGCAGAGCCAAGTTGGTTCTGCTTTGAGTCAGAGGTTGGACTGGAGAGCTCTAGAGACCCTTCCCAGCATAAGCTATTCCGTGATTTTATCCAAACATAAAAAAAAACCCTGTGTCCATTAGCTTTCTGTCTGGTTTTCCTTGGAGTGGATGGCAGCTGTGATACTGCTGGTGGTGAGTTGCTCTTGTCTCTGAAATCTAAGCCTTCTGTTAAACAGGCTTTCTTTATCCATGTGAATTCAAAATATTGTTTTAGCTGTCTGAATAGCCCGGTAAATTGGTCTTTCTTAAAAATCCTATATAAGCCAAATTCAGATCCGTTTGGTTTTGTTTTTTCTTTTTTCCAAGAAACTAATTCATCAGCTTTAAACAAGGTTATACCATTCAGCTTTCCAACTGTAGGCATTGTAATAGCTTGTCTTGAAGCAATTTTCTGCACTAAGTGCCAATGGAGCTCTAAGAATAATTGCATGTCATGACATTTTTCTGTAAAAATGCACTTGATGTGAATGGCAATTACAGATTTTTATTGTCCCCCAAATTCCAACATATGAAAACTGTAGGTATTGCAGTTAATGGAGACTAGCACTAATAAGAAATAGATCTGGAAAGAGTAATTTTGAATATGAAACAGTATCTTTTTGTGAGTAATGCTGACTAAACGCACAGCTAGCAGATTGATTTAACCTGCTGTCATGTGCATGCAGCAGGTCTTCGTTTTTTCCTGGTCCAATTCCTTAGGTTGTTGATATGTAACATTGAGGCTTCTGGTTAGGGTTGTGCTGGGAAGATTGCTCATCCTTCTGCTTGAGGTCTTGAAAGTGGGGCTTATTTAGGGAGTCCGCTGTCTTACGGATTTTGGTATTGGTGAAAGAAGATACTATGTTAGACTGCATCTGCGTGAGCATCCAGAAGAAGGTTTTTCAGTGAAGGTGCATTATGTAAGTGATTGTCCCCCTGTACTTGGCACTGGTGAGGCCACACCTCGAGTGCTGTGTCCAGTTCTGGACCCCCCACTTCAAGAAAGACCTTGAGGTGCTGGAGCGAGTCCAGAGAAGGGCAACGAAGGTGGTGAAGGGTCTGGAGCACAAGTCTGATGGGGAACAGCTGAGGGAGCTGGGGGTGTTTAGCCTGGAGAAGAGGAGGCTGAGGGGAGACCTGATCACTGTCTACAACGACCTGAAAGGAGGGTGTAGCCAGGTGGGGGCCGGCCTCTTCTCCCAGGCAGCTAGTGACAAGACAAGAGGGCATAGTCTGAAACTGCACCAGGGGAAGCTCAGTCTAGAAATGAGGAGGCCTTTCTTCACAGAAAGGGTCGTTAGGCATTGGAAGGGGCTGCCCGGAGAGGTGGTGGAGTCCCCATCGCTGGTGGTGTTTAAGAAAAAACTGGAGGTGGCACTTAGTGCCATGGTCTAGCTGACATGGTGATGTTAGGGCAAAGGTTGGACTTGATCATCGTAGAGGTCTCTTCCAACCTCATTGGTTCTATGGTTCTGTAAAGCTCTCAGTTTTTGCCTGGGTTACTGTTTGTTTTTGCTGGGTTGCTATAGCAACCTCAGAACATAGCAGCTGAAGAATGTTAGGAGAAACTTGACTCTTGCAGGCAGAGCCATACTGACACCAGGAGCTACAGCACACCTGCAGCTCTGCTGTCCGGTAAATGCAGGAATATCTGAGGTAAGGCAACCCAGTTTTGCAGGAATCTGGATTTGCCCATTGTTACTGGAGGTTTTTTGCCAGTGATCAAGATGATGCGGGTAATGTCTTATTTTTAGTTGATACAAACCAAAAAAAAAAGGTGCTGTTGTTGCTTGGGTTTTGTTGTTATGTGTGTCCTTTCGTGTATGGCAGCAGGATACCTGAGGGACTGGTTAATATCATAGGTTTCATGCGAGGGCAAGAAGAGTTTTCATTTTTTCCCTTCAGGACAAACAAAATTATTTCTGTGTTAGGTGCTTTCCTACCCAAAAAAGTATAGGTGATGGTTTCGTAATTATTACATTTGGGTTTTGTCCTGCCAGTGATATTAGGTGTGAATGACAGCTTTGTTCCCTAACTGTCTGTCTGGATTGCTGGCCAGAAAGCCAGTGGGGACTGCTTGGGGGCTAGTGGGTGGAAATCAGGTGGCCTATTTAGTATGGACATGAAGGTTTGGACAGCTCTTTTAAATACCTGTTCTTGGGCATGCTGTTTTACTACTGTGATGCAGCGTTAACTTTGTAATTTATTTTTTTATTTTTCAATTGATGCTTCTTTTATTTTAAGATCAGAAGATGCTATCTATGTACTCTAGGTCTTAGTTCTCTTTGATTAAAGATGGTCAAATTTTACATAATTTTTTGGCAAATCATATGATGAGTCTAAAATAACGCTTCTGTTAGAGATATGTGTGGTGAGCTATGGGCAGAATAAGTGTTGAACAGCAGAGGCAGTTACTGCCTTGGGTTTCTTGTCCTGCTTTCCTTTATTGTATTAAGTATAGGTATGTATGCTTGCTGTTTGGATGAATTCCCAAGTGAAGCTTTCCTCCTTGGACTGACACCGCTCCTGAGAAGGACTGTGAGAGAAAGAGTACCAAAGGAGAAGTTTTTAAAATGAAAAAAATAAACCTATGATAGCTTGACAGACCACAGATCTGACAAACTTAGTGCTGGTGCTGCACGTTCTGACTTAACATGATATATTTGTAGAAGGTTTTTGATCTACGCAAAACTCTCTATCTCTTCAATTAAATTAGGTCTCCAGCTCTTACATTTTGCTTGGCAAATATATGTTATCATAATAAATTTGGAAATGGCTATAAGAACAAGATGTTTAAGATTCTTAAACATATAGAACACTGTGTAATTGAGAAAATATAATATATCGCTGAATGCTAAATTTTCAGAATTTGTTAAACTTGGGTTAGAAAAAATAAAGGGTAAAAACTTCAGTGAGCTAAAAACATTCTGTTGTTTTGAATTCCTATTTCTTTGTAGGCCATTGGGATTATGTGCTTTTCTTCTAGTGGGATTTGTCAGGGATGATGAAGGATTGTTCTGGTTAGGTGGGTATGTATATTGACAGCAATTAATTCTAACATATAAAAAAAAATATTTTGCAGGATAAAGAGGCATTGCAACAGCAGCAGTACAATAACCTGATTCAGATCTCTGCCCTACAGTCTAAATTGGATGAAGCAAGGCACAGAGTACCAGCAGATGGCAGTTGTGCCCCAGTGCTGAAGGAGCAGTTGCAGGCAGAGCAGGAAGCACTTCAGAGGAAAGAGAGAGAGGTAAGAGTTTTGGCAAAGGTCCTGTAGACTTCCGAGTCGCTCGTGTAATTGCAGAAACATTTTGTGCAAACTTGTAACTGGGAATTTAAGCCATTCAAAAACCCAATGACTACCATTGTAGTAGGTATGCCTTCTTATCCAGTATTCTCTAGGCTTTGGCGTTAACTAATCTTGCTTTGTTCTGTTTTGTCACCCCCGTGTCTGTCCATCTCCCCTGCTGCTGAAAACTGTCCTGTGATGATTCACATAAACTTTGAGACTGATTGATCAATATCTCTTGTAAATTGATTTTCCTTTCCATCCAAAGTTGAAGTGGAGTGGAAGGTGGATGTGATTTTGTTTGAGAGTGATAATTCCTTTATCACTAATCCAGTGATAATAATGGGAAAATTACCCATAATGGTGTCATCTGACCTTCTCTGTTTTGTGAGCCAGAGAATGCTAGCCATGAGTTCTTGTGCCAAGCTAAGCTGAAACACTATGTAATTGGCCACAGCGTTTGGAACTTTTACTGGATTTACATGCAGATGCATACACTCCCCTTCGCTGTATGTTTACGTAATACTACATAATTATTATAGTATCTGTAATATACAAACATACAATCCAGTTTAGGATGTGCAAGGAACAACAATATGGGTCATCCTCCAGTTAATTATGCACCATTTTTTCAAGAGCAGTAAGAAAATAAAAACTGATTTCTTACAGATGGAAGTTCCAAGTCTCTTACGAAGTCTGACTTGAGGAGCCACTAAGCCTTTTTCATTCTCAAAGCCCCTATACCTTGCTACCCATTAAGGCAAGAGATGATAAAACCTTTGGGTGGCAAGATCACAGTGTTTCCAGAAAGCTCTTTGCTCTCAAGCTTTCAAAAGCTACTAGCAGAGGAATGTGTAGTTACTGACTCTTTTACAAGTTGAAGGAGTTCATGCGCAGAACTTTTTTGGTTGCTGTATTATCTGGATTAGCAGTGCAGTGCTAATTTCTGTCTTCTAGGAGGAGGAGAGTGGTGATCATGTTAACTGCTTGTGATTACTTTAGACATCAAATACTTTAGACATCCTATTGTTATGTCAAATTACATCAGTCAAGCCTTGATTGTTCAGACATAGATTAACGTATTTCTTATGGGCAGTTAGATTTTTTTAAAAAGAAAATGGAAAACCACCTTTGCAATACTTTGGTTTCGCAGTTGAGGAGCTGGAACACTAGCTTCTCACTCTTTTTATGGCTCAAGTATTTTATTAATGCAAATTGATTAGAGAGTTTAAGTCATCGAGTGTGCTGAAGTTACTTGTTCTCAGTAAATAAGGCGATGAATGAAGTTTTATCTTTTCTGCTTAAATAAGAGAACTTAATTGAAACAACTGTGCATTTTCTTCTTTTTTTTAGATTGCAAGCTTGTTAGACCAACTAGAACAATATAAAGATAATTTGATCAGTAAAAAAGAGGAGATATTGCAGCTGAATTTGCAGTTAGAGATGCAAAAAAACCTTAGCACTTCCAGCATCAGCCACCTTCAGTTAGAGAATGCACAACTGAAGGTAGGTTTCCTTGGCTTTAGTGTGCACTGGCTAAAACTTCAGAGACCTTCTGTCTTGAATGTTGTGGTTTTCATCTTGTGATGTTACAAACAGATACTTAGTTTGTTTCTCTTGTCAAGGGAATATTGCATTACTGTTACAAGGCTAATGCTGGATATTGTAGAACAAACCCCACCCATATACTCCAGGTTCATGTTTATGGCATTATCTTCTACAGACTTCTGATTTAAATAAAAAGCTTAGCTTTTTTCCTGGCCCTGCCAGATTATGAACTACAGTGTTGTCATTTAGTAAACACTACACAGTTTTGTGTGTATTCCTGACCTCTATAGCCACTGCAAATGTTACAAGTTAGAAAACTGGTTGGTTGTCAGTCTGGCAACTTTTCATCTCTTAGCTTGAAAGTTGAGAAATGTTGTGGCAATCTAATCCAGGGGTACAAACCCAAACAAAGTAGCTGTAGTTGTGTTCTTGAGTTCTTTAACATGATGGCAAGGAGGAGAATGTTTAAATGAAGACCTTAGTTCTGTTCTGCCCTTAGGGAGAAAGTAAGTCCTTTCTAATGAGATTGCTTTTTTTTCTCATCAGGAGGATCTAACAAAACTTCACATGAAGCAAAATCAGAACCTGGATATTGGTGATTCCTCAGCTTTGTCATTCCCACAAGCACTACTCAAAGAAAAGAATCAAGAAATCGATCACTTGAATGAGCAGATGAATAGACTCCAGCATGAGCTGGAGAATAAAGTAAGAGTACTAACTATATGTTCATTGTTTGGTTTTTAGGGGAAGCAAGGTGTACAGGATCTTATTGTAAATTAAATCTATTTGATAATTCTCTTAGGAAAGTAGAGAGTCTTTTGAATTGCTACCAGCTGAAGCGTGCATTCTTCCTGCTGTTAAATATGTGATTTAATGCCTGCATGTTTCAGAGGAAAAATGTAATTTAAACTCTATGTGCAATACTAATTCTGCCTACATACAGTAATATGCAGACCGTATCCTTTTGCTCAGGTTGTGGAAGACCAAAAATCTGAAATTGAAGAACTCGGATCACTTGTTGAACACCTTCGTGGTGACCAAGAAAGGCTGCGTAAGGACAAAGATGAAGAGGTAGAGCAACTCCATGGAGTCATTGAGAAGCTTCAAAAAGAGCTGGCACAACTTGGACCAGTATGTCACGAAGTTAATGATGACCAAGATGATCTCTGTCCACATGCCCTGGGAATGCCAGTGAGAAACCTTCAGAATGAGTTGAAGAAGGGACTGGCAGATTATCTGGGTGATGATATTGGTCGAAACAGAAGAAACCCATTTCTACTCTCCAAAGTGAGAGAACTTCAGGAGGAACTAGACCTTGTCTTGGCTGCTAAGGAAGCTCTGCAGCGGCAACTGGAAGAGAAGGAATCGCAGTTCAAAATAAAAGTGGAAATTCTGGAGAAAAAATGCCAAAAATTACGAGAGTCATCAGAACAGCATGTTGCAGAGCTAACCTTTCTGAGAATACAGTATGGTGCTCTTCAGCAAGAGTGCAGCCTTTTCCAAACACGTTTGTCTTGGACAGAGGCTGAAGCAAGGATGGCTACTTCTCACCTTCGAGAACTTGAAGATACTGTAAGAGAAAGTGAAGCAACTATTCTAGAGAAAGAGATGCAAAAGAAGACACTGGCAGAGTTGCAGTACTTAACAAAAAAGGCAGCAGAGCATCAAACTGAGCTGGAAAAGAGAGATGCAAGTCAGGCTCAAGATGTTAATAGTCTTCAATTAGAAGTTTCTACACTTGATTTCCAGGTGCAAGCACTGGATCAGAAAGAAGTAGCTTATCAGAGAGAAATCAATGAACTGCAAGGTAGCACTCCAAAACTGAAAGATCAAATCAAGGCATATGAGAAAGAGCTTGAAGCCTTACGATTGGAAAGAGGTGGACTTACTTCAGAGTTGGAGTTGTACAAGCCAAAGGAACAACATGATCGTGAAGAGACTAAGCTTCTCAAGCCATTCTGCCAGAGAGAAAGAAAAGGTGTAGCCCTTAAAGGAATGGAGGAACTGGAAGAACTGGAAGCAAATACCGATCAGTCATTTGCAGTAGCGGCTTCCCCTACTGATAACCTGGTATGGGATTTGTTTTTTAGTAGTATTATTTGTTTTTTAAAATAATCCACTTTTATGTGTCATATAAAGCCTTATAGTTTATACTTTTCAGTGCTGTAAGAAAGGGTGAGGATGAATACTTTGGCATAAAAATGGCTGTGGTGAGTCAGTTGAAGGGTCTGTCTGTCTCTGTAGTTTCTGCAGCAGTGGCTAGAGGTAGATGCCTGGAAGGACTAAGAGCAGAGCAAGCATACGTGGAAACCTAATCCAGTCATTTTTCTGAGCTGGATATGGTTTTGGGTATGGATCCTAAGCTACGTGTTGGGTGTTCGTGGCAAGGTGTTGGCAGTGGGGGAGCTGCAAGGGGGCCTCCCTGAGAAAAGGCCGAGGCTGCTCCTTGCTGGGCACATCTGGTTCCACCACAGGACACAGCTGAGCCTGTGAGCCGTGTGCGTGGCACTGCTGTGAAAACATATTTAAGAAAGGGCAAAACATTGCAGAGGCAATGAGGAGTGAAGGGGAGGGGGGAAAGTGTGAGAAACAGCCCATGGAAGAGACCGTGCTAGAACAGATATTCGCACTGTAGGGAGGAGGTAGAGGACTTTAGAATGAAGGAGTAAAATTGAGCTTGGGGAGAAAAGGCAGGGAGCTCTTTCAGTGTTTGTTTCTTGCCGTCCAACTCTATTTTAATGGCAAATTAAATAAATTTTCACCAAGTCAAGTCTGTTTTGCCCATGAGAGTAGTTAGTGGGTGATATTGCTGTCTTTATCTCTGCCCATGAGCCCTTTCCATCTTATTTCCCCCCCCTGATCTGCTGAGGAGGGAAAATAAGAGAGTGGCTGGGTGGGCATCTGGCAGCCAGCCAAGGTCAACCCACCATGAGCTACTAAGACTGTTTGCCATGCTTTATGGCTGTCCTGGAGAACTACTTGAAAATACCTTTGTCGTGTCTCATATTTTAAAAAAAATCTTTATTTACTGTGACTCTTTCTCATATTTACTCTGAATCTTGTCTAAAACCATTTGCTCCAGATAACCTAATGTGAACTTTTATTAAATTACTCAGTTCTGGAAAGCAGTAGGACCCAGATGACCTGGTTTTCAGAGGTCTGTCCTGTACCAACTTACTGTCTTATCATCTCTGTAAGCCAGCCTTAAGTATTAGTAAGAGGGCTTATATGAAAAGAGTTTCTGAGTGGAGAGGAAAAGGAAAAAGTTAGGTGTCAGGCTTATGTGGATTTTGAAGGTTCTGATGGGCAGTATGATTTGGCCATAAAAATCCAAGGTGGTTGACTTATACTGTACTACTTGCCCCTTTGTAGTGGGAAGGGAAGATGGCACCAGGTAGAAATGATAGTTTGTAGGAAGAATTACTGGATTTCCAAGTTAGGCAAAATAACTGGGCTTCAATATTGGTATCACTAATGGTAAAAACCTACTTGCAGAGTTACTATGATGTTACAGAATGTTTCATATTACTTTGCCATTTTGCTTCATAGCCCAGCAATCACAACAGGATGCAGTTCTTTGTTTTAAAATATATTCAGTAATAACAGTGTGTTTTCTGTATGCTTTTGTGTGTTATCTTTAAGCTACACCGATGTATTTAGGATGTATTTTATTTAAATTATACTTGAATGCCATCTCTCCTTATTTAAAGAAATGATAGAATAATTACTATGTAAAATGACTTATGTTTATTTTTTAAGCAGAAAGGAAGAGTGTAGCTATGCAGAACGTGTGATCGTTACTGGTGTTTGTATTTTTGTTTGCTTAGAAGTTCTAGTTTGGATCAGTGCCATGTGCCTAGGTGATACTGTACATTCAGGGTCTGTCTCAGAAATCCCTCAGAAAAAGGGATCGGGTGGGAATAGCATTGAATGACCTATGCAAAATGACATACTTCAGATCATTAAATGTATGTATACAAGGCGGCATCAGAGCTTAGCCACCTGACTTCCAGTCTAGTGCTCTACTGGACCATGTTGGTTATACAGCTAGTGATTGTTAGATCCCTGTTTAAAGAACATAAGTAACTAACATAACCAAATACACTATGTACCAGATTTACTGGTTGTGTTGTTTATCTGTCTCTATAGGTCTCTTAAGTTGTAATAGCCACTTAGTAGTAGCAGTAACTCATGAAGGTCAGTTATCAGCTTCATGGTGGAAACCATATGCAGCTACACTGTCTTTCTCTTGTCTAGACTAAGAATACAACCGCTTGATCTCACCTGAGTAATGATTATTTATTACAAGCTTACATTACCAAAATATGCTGTATGAGTTCCAGCCAACTGCATTATTTATGCTGTTTGTCAGGTAAAAAACATACAGCGTAAAGTGCATGCACAACTTTAAAATCATAGTTACTGTAGATATGATTTGAGAATATATGGAAAATATACAATCTGTATGAATATGGAAACGGCTCACGTAAAAAATATTTTTTCTTTGAACACAATGCAGGGAGAGGTGAAGACTACGAACAATTCACAGAATGAAAAGAATTTAATTGTAAAGATGTCACCTCATAAAGAAGAACTTAAATCTGAATTAGGTTCAGCAAAAAAGGAGTTAGGAGTCAATGAAGAGAGAAGTGGTAAAATTTTGAAGGATATAAAGGTATGCTGGAATTCTGGGGGCAGTTAAATGATTTAAAAATCACTTTTTCAGTAGAAACTTAGATTCTGAAATGTTTAAATTCATGTATATATGTCAGTATATGTATTTCCATATTTAAGTGCTAAAAGTTTTAAAGTAGGCTGAGGAGGGATGATATCAAAGTTGGAGAATAAGTTGAGTCAAAGTAAGTACACTACCGTGTCTTCAAGCATTCATTACGATAGACCTTTTCCTACAGATCTAGTTCATCCATTATAAGGAAAAGTGCAATATTTGGTTCAGAGTATCAATTGTCTGAGCAAGATAGTGACCATGAGCCTGAGAGCTGGAGAAAGAGAAAAGTAACAATATTTGGGTACTTTTGTTGTTCTAGTATGGATTAGCTAACTGCTGTTTTAGAGAACATCTTCAGAGGAAAAGAAATTGCAGAAGACCCACGAGATTAAGCAGCTCTTTACTTAACCCTGAATAGTGAATGAGAGTTTGTTCAAATTGTTAACATTGAAGAGCTTTTGTGTAATAGTGAACATAACACAGACAAATGCAGCATTGTTAGAGGAGCAAAGAAACGCCCTACAGTCCTTCTTGGGTTCAAAAGTGGTAACAATGTGAAAATTAGAGAATGTATTAAAATGAAAGCTGGAGGAGCAGCTAAAAAGGTAAAGTATTTGCAGGTAGCACTAGGCTTAAAACAAGCTAGGACTCATGAGCTAAGATGGTTAACACAAAAGGATTAAGGTGATGGTCTAAAATGAGAGAGGGAACAATTATTCACTGTATATACAGTGTAAGAGATATGGAGGATGAAATGAAATTTGCATGGTGGCAGGTTTAAAATAAACTAAAATATCTTTTCAAGCAGTGCATTATTTAGAATCTTAACCAGAGAATCTAAGAGGTCAAAAGAGTAATTTTATCCTAAAATTACTTAGATGAAGGGATTGAAGGAAAAATCAACCAAGAACTGTCAAACAGAAAGATACTGACTGCGTATGTAGCCTTGGATGTGTGGACGTTTGCTTATAGGGAGCTAGGCAGGCATGCTTGGGGAGGTACCTCTTTGCAAGGACAGGGCAAAGCTCTGCTGTCTGGCAGGGTTCCTTTGCAGAAAGATTGTTCTAGTCCTGTTAAAACTTCCTCAGGATGATGGTGGTAAAACAGAGAGGGAGCCACAAAACCAGGGATTCAAACATTCCTAATTTGAAGAGAGGAGAGAAAAGGGGGGTAAAAAAAAAAAAGGCAGCAAGGAGGGAAGACAGACCCCTCTTAAAGCAGCAGGTGGGCCAACTTGAGAGGGGGCTTTGAGTACTTGGGGCACTGAAGATGAAAAAGTGGAGGAAAAAAGGCAGCCAGACCTGCGTAAGTTGTGGAGGCATTAGAAGAGAAACTGCAGCTTGGCTTGCTCAATATATGTTCTGGAGCCTCCCTACTGCCACAGAAAAGGCATAGCCTTTGCCACGAACACACTATATTAATGACGTCAGTAAGCCTGGAATTACAGCGAGTTGGGCACTAGCCTTAGGGTTCCCTAATCACTTGGTGATGGCAAGTCCTACCACACTGGATCCCTGAGGTTCTAAGGATGAGAGTAAAGGTATTTTCATGATGCGGTTCAGAGATGTTCCATCTGAATGTCAGCCTCCAGGTGGAGTGAGTAACAGGTTTAGATGCTGAAAGACGAGAAGATTTGAGTTCTTGGCATCTGGAGCAAGCAGTGGGACTTGTTGAAGCAGTGGCTTTGCAATAGCAGCCTTTCCATGGTGTCTGTGACACACCTGCTTGTTGAAAAAAGCAATAACTTCAAGAGGCCTTGGGAATAGAAGAAAGCTCTTTTTATATAGAAATGCTGACTAAGTGAGAGCCCTTGTAGCAAGGTAGGCAGGGATGTATCTGCATACTCCATGGCACAGTATTGACATTATTAAGTTTGAAGGTGGAAGTCTAGCCTTGGTTTGGTCAGTGACCATGCTCTTACACTATGGGAAAGATGCTGGAAAGATTCTGTGGCCACTCAGGTACCCAAGCCCTCAGGTACGTGCAAGGATCACAGGAACTGAGGAGGGTGGATGCCTGTTGTGTCCATGCTGGCTGTGTTTCCCTGTTGGCCTCTGTCAGAGATGGTGGTTGAGTAGAAGGACTTTGATCTGACCTAGTGTGTCTGTTTTTACGGAGTCAGAGTTTGAGAAATGATCTGCAGTGTTGCTGATCAGCAGAGACCTAAGTTGGTTGGTTGATGCTTGGAAAAATGAAAAATAAATGGGTAGAGTACCCCTGTGGGAACAAGATGCTAAAAGGTACAAGTATGACCTTACCAAAATTTAGCATATAGCATGTCAGTATGTATGGCTGCTGTGTGTCTTGATGATGGGGCGTGTGAATCCATGTTGCTCTTCCCTCCAGTGACTAGAAGTTACAGTTTCTTCTGCAGGACAGGTGTAGGAACCATCTTCTGAAATGGCAGGCGTAGGAACCGTCTGTAGACTTTTTAACCATTTTTTCCTGGTGCCCTGGGTCAGGAATTAAGCCTTAAGATAGTTCAGTAGATTTGTCCAGTTAGGAAAGCAACAGGTTTTGATTTGTATTTATTTGAAAGTAGGAAGATTATCTACGTAGCTACAAGGAAT